CCGCGGCAATCTCTTTATTTGAAAAGAGATTGGATCCGCATGGTGAAGGCAAATTTTTTCACCAGAGATGTGCTTGCCACATCATCAATTTGATAGTTAAAGCAGGTTTAGATGCTATACATTCGAAGATGAAGAGGGTGCGCGAGGGTGCGCGCGGCTATCGAATTTATCGTCGGCGGTAGCAATAAAAGATGGCAGGAGTACGTCAAATATCGTAAGCAAGAGGACCACCGGTTCGACCTTTAAAGTTATGTACGGATATGTCTATCCGTTGGAACTCCACCTACTTGATGTTGGAAAAAGCTTTGCCAACCGCGAAACAAATTACAAATTTCGTCAACTGGAAGCACTTGTTAGTGTATGCCCTAGGAACCAATCGTGTTGTCGGTTTCAGGACATTATATCTTGTAAATGTATTATGAATAAAAGAAAGTGTTCTTATTTCACATGTTGATTTTCTGCTTCATTTATATTATATTATAGTTAATATTGCATGTGAAATGTCCGAATGACACGGATCTTCAGAAGATCAAATCATCAAAGAATTCCCTACGAAGTAATGTTAATTGGGCAATAACATTGCATAGTAGGCATGTTGAATGTCTCCATTGAATATCATGTGATGGTATTAGTGTGGGTGATTATAAGAGGTATGTCACTAAGGCAATAGCATGGATAAATGGTTAGTGAACTATTTATCAAATACGACCGATTACGATGAATCACATGGATGTGGTCAATGATGCATCGTAGGATCGTGCTAGTGTACCACTGATCCTTAGACCTGAGACATCACAGTTGGATTCAACATAGGATGCATATGGTTCATATGGTGTATAAGCACGAGACTAGTCATGTCTTGTGTAATAAGCCGGTTTGGTCATATGTTATTCATGTGCGAGGACAAGTGATGGTCAAGATGGGATCCGTTAACTCAAAATAATCCAATCTCGAGTTCCCAGACGAATGTCAATAAACATTAGAAAAGGGAAATCTCTAGCCAGAGTATAATGAATGTCAGATGAAAAGTAGTTTCATGTTGACGAGTTTCATTGTATCGATTGACAATTCAATTAAAGATTAAGTTAAAGGTTTTGACATACCATGAACATTCTTAATCGGGATTAGATAACGGAGGGATTTGACTACACGGTACGTACGATCAGAATAGGTTCATTGGAGTTTACATTTCATTGTGGTTTAGGGGTTATGGAACATTGCTAGATGTCTACCATAATCAGTGGGAGTTTGGATTATAAAGAATTATAACGAAACATATCAAAATCAGATATTGGGCCCACAGCTAGATCACAGTGAACCAAAATGGTCACACATAAAACCAAGCTCAAAGAGAGAGAGTAATACATATCATTAATCAGATTAATGATATTCGGACATAAACGGTTGCATCCGGATTAATGTATTGGTGAGAAATGATTATCCATGGATAGCTAGCACTAACCAAGGGTAATAAGGATTTATTAAATATTATTATTGAATTGGATTCAATGATGGGGGCAAAAGTGCATTGGTTTTATTCTAAAGGGTTAGAATATTCAATGGAATTAAAATTTGGTCTAATTATGAATTAACCATAAAACTAAGGACTTGACATAAATGTTTATTCTCAAGTTAATTTTAAATTGTTTGAGGCCTTCCCAAAACAATTTAAAATTACACTTTGTGTCCATGGTATATAAATTAAGTTTTATACCATTTTGATTGAATTGAATCAATAAAAGCAAAATCACTCTCTCATTTTCTCTCTCACTCTCTCGGCTCTCTCTTCCTTGACTTGTGTGGATCACATTTTGAGGTTCTTCAAGTTCACTTGAAGAACTAAGATTCCAAGAAAGAAGATTTAAGTGTTGAATAACAAAGGAGTAGGTAATATTCCATCCTTACCTTGAAATTTTTTGGGCTTATGTGTTATGTTTGTGTTCTACCTTGCATCCATCATCTTGTTCATCCATGTTACACCATTTCCATGTCCAAAATGCATGAATCCTAACAGCACTATCCAGAGAAAGTTGTCAGCTATGATGATTGGGTGGTTTGTGAACTTTTTTATTCTTTTCTTAAAATTTTTTATGATGCTACTAATACATTAAGTGGTATTTATTATCCGACTACTAATTTAGTGTTAGATATTTTACTTCAAATTGCTAAAACTTTTGCTAAATATAGATATAATAACGTTTTAAGGGAAATTGTTTTAAAGATGGAAGAAAAATATGAGAAATATTGGTTAGATATTCTATTCTTATATGGATTAGGCCTTGTTCTAGATCCTAGGTTTAAATTACACGTAGTTAACAGTATAATTACTGAGTTAGGCCAGCATTTAGGACATGATTATACATCTTATTTGACTAACTTTAAACAAAAATTGGATAGCCTTTTTTCTTTATATGAGAACAGGTACAATGGAAGTGGAAGTGGAATGTTCAGGAAAGACGATCAGGACCTTAATGCAACCTCTGTCAAGGATCGAGCAAGTGGACGTATATGGAACGTGGCAGAAGTAGCAGCTCCAGCTCGTACATACATGGACCAAATGAGCTGAATCGCTACCTACAAGTGGACCTGTCCTTTATGATGATGAAGCAGAAACATGACATGGATATTCTTCAATGGTGGAACCAATATGAAATTCGATTCCCCATTGTAGCCCAAATGGCATGTGACATTTTATCTGTGCTGGTTTCTACAATTGCATCCGAGTCAACATTTTCAACGAGTGGTCGGATTGTTGAAGACAGAAGATGTTCTTTAACCGATGAGATGATTGAAGTGATAACGTGTTTACGGGATTGGACTCACGCAGAAAGAAGACTACAACAGCACCTTGAAGATCCCGAACCACTCAAACTCTTTAGGAATACATATTTGAATGATGTAAATATTGTTGACGATGAAGATGAATAATTTAATAAAAAAAATTATTTAATTATTTATTTGTGAAGCGTGAATGTGTGAAATGTGAATATTACATTTATGTTAAAAATTAAAATTAACTATTATTTTATTATTTTTCAAAATTAATTAAATTTTTAGAAACTTACTAATCTACCCCTGAAAAATATTAAAAACCCCCTACAAAATTTCATTTTGCTCCTAAAATATAAAAAAAAATCAGGGGGGAAAAGAACTCTTCCAGGCCCATAGGACCGATCCGGGTCCTAATATTACTCATGGGCCTGGGACCGGCCCCAGGCCCATGAGCGATTGGTCCCATTTGGGACCAATCCCAAACGGGCCTAGGCCCGGGCCTGCTTGGGACTGGTCCTTGACCAGCTCTAAGTCGTAGGCGAAATTGGAGTGCAGTGATGGTGCATGCTTGGAGTGTGATTGAAACCGTCTCTGTAGTGGTTAGGAACTTAGGATTGTTAGACTTCTTATGGTTATGGTCCTACACTTTTAATATAATTACATTATAGTCCTACACTTTTATGCTAATGTGGATTATAATAAAAGAAATATATACGGTTGTGTCTCTTGAGCAATTGTCTTTGATGGAAAGACAACTGCATTTATAAAGGAGACTTTACAGGTCCCCATTTGATGTAATTTTCATTTTTGATTCCCAAAACCATCGCTCTAAAATTGCAGTCAGATACTGTATTCTGAAGAAGCAAGAAGACTAAACAACAATTGCTATGGCTGAAGGTTTGTAAATTATTTCCGCATATATTCAATGAGTATTTAGATGTTTATAATTGATTATATTATGAATTTTTATATGAATATTGGAATAAAAATGTATTTACAAGGATTTGTGAAATTGGAATTGATTTGAAGAGTGTGTTAAAATTGTTCCCAGATAGATCATTCAAGTAAAACTGAAACTCCAGCGTTTGCAAATTTCCAACTTTTCACATTTGCTTTTAACACTTTCTATAACATTTTCCATTACCTTAAATGTGTTTGGACCTGCAGAACAACCCAAATCGTTCCCATTTCCTTTGCTCATGCAAAGCACATCCTTTGTAATGGCTGCTTCAGGAATTCAACCGCGAAATGATGCAAAGAGGCGATAGCGAAAAAGGTCGGCAAAATTGTAATGCAGTGGTGGTGCGTTCGTGGAGTGCGACTGAAACGTGGAGAGCGTTTGGCTGTGCATTTTCTGTGCGGCAAAATTTGAGGAAAATGAATTTTGGGAGGCAACTTTGAATTTGGCAGAGTTCCAATTTTGCAAATCACATTTAATTGAATTTTTTTTTAAATTATTTTCTAGGTGTTGCGTCAGTCAGGATGTGTCAGTCCGGGCAGCCGTCGATAAATACAGCTGCAGGTAATATGGAAATCAAAATCGCTTAAAAAAAAAATAGAGGGAATTTAAAATTCGGCGGACATTTGTGCCCTTAAAATGTGACTTGAAATTACAAAAGTAGCCGTTTGAACATAAATTTGCAACTGAAAAAATGATGTGAAATTACAAAAAACTCAAAAGCATTTGACTGTTGGTTCAATTGAACTAGCCGTTGGCCAAGAAAGTATTTAAGCATGCATGCACCAGTAAGGTTATGAAAAATTGCATTGAGTAGGCAAAACAAACCATTTGCAAATTAGGCAACCTAATTCAAACACTCTATCACAAGATTCACAACATCCATCCATCCATCTATAATGTCTTATTCAACATGGATTGTAACCATTCCGAAGAGAAACAGTGGTAAAAGACTTCAAATAAAGTTGATGTTCATATTGTATTGCACCTGAAAAGCATATACATTTTAACGGCTTAATGTTTGGTGTAATTACAAATATTTCATACATATCTAGGCTGAGGGAACAAGTACCTCACAAAATCAAATGAAATCTGTTTGTGTTTACATAAACATCCTAGTTCATTATACTACAGCAAAACACTAGGGAATGCATAATTATCAGCTCAGCTTCGATACTCTTTGATTTTCTGTGGGACTACAGCATTTGCAAATTTCAAGAGCTGGTGGTACAAAAACAAACTAACAAAATACCTCCAGCAAAACCAAATCTTCAACAGTGTTCCACTATTTGACAGACGTATAGCCTATATTTCCATGCAAAAAAATCTGCACATATGATACATATCAAATTATAGGTTTTTCTTTTTTTTTTTCAATATATAAATATTTGAATTCATTTTTAGGTTAAATCTCTTACTTGGGACATAAAACATGGATAAACTCTCCAAGGGACCTTGCCCTTGCTTTTCCGTGTTTGCTGTGGATCAATGTTATTCTTTCTTCCAGTAGTTGTGGTTTTAGCAACCTTGGAGGAACCAATCTTCTTTTTCTTCTTATCTTAAGCATTCACATTTGAGTTTCCCCTTGTTGGATTGGACGTTGAAGCAACTGCAGCTAGCGAGTAATACTTGCATCCAGTTTATAAGCCATCAGTTCCCTCAATTAAGTAGATGAGTTTTGGATGGACGCTTGTGGGAATCCTAGAAACGAATCTGCAAATAATATCTACTGGGTTTGGGCCCGATACTTACAAAAAAGGTTACTGAGCAACATGCGTTATTTTAAACACAAAATAAATTTGTTCTGTCAGAACTCTTATACCCTTTACTAGGGGTAGCTGAATAAAGTTTAAAGAAGGCATGCAGGCCTAATATAAAGAAAAAAGAGTATTTCAACTGTATTTAAATTTTTAATATCATGAACAGAGAAGAAATCAGCCAGGCATCAATCTGTAGTCATCTAGACATATCGTATAAGCTCAGCACAGTGATAGTTCACTGCACCAGGAGAACATATAGATATGTAACACTATCGTAAGTACCTGCTTAATCATCATCTTCTACTCTGCCCGTGTCTAGTTTAAGCCAATTTATCAAACTTATCAATACATGACTGAGAAAAACAGATTAGAATTCCTAGACGAAGGTTGCTAAATTTGGCATTAGACAGCAAAAGTCTATTCACTTGTCTCACTAACTCTTTCTTTGATTGAGGACAGTAAAAGAGAAACCCAACCACTCGTGCACATCAATCCAAGACTTTAAATCTCTAATCTTTTCTTTAGGAAAAAAATTAACTACTTAGACAAGTCAAGCCAAATTACTGGGTCAAACTGAAATTTCAAATCTACAACAATGATGCAAATGGACAAAGTACTCACAAGGAAGACACTCAGATGAGTAAGGCAAACATCAAATCCAACCGCATAGCCACCTGCAGCAGAAAGCTGGGCAGTCATCGGCACAGGATCTGCACATTGTTTTCTTCATGGTCCTCCATTCAACAAAAAGTATAGAAGAAAAATATGACTAAATGAAATGGAAGACCAAAATGTATATGTAACATGATGGACATTGATATATAAGTTGGTGAAAATTATTTCAAAATAAATGTAACAATGTAATAAGTTAGAGAATATAAAATAAATTGATTAACAATTAATCTAAAACGTTTAAGCCAATACAAAACAAGCCTGAAAGTAGTATTTAAACTCTAAAATGAATCCTCACATGCAAGGCCAAATTTAATTAACAGACATCTCATGTAGATACAATGACACATGATTCACGTGATTAAACTTTCTTCTTCATTCATCTCAAGTAGGAAGGGATTTTGAAAGCTTAACTGCTTAGCTTGATTTCAAGTTGTACAGAAAAAAAGGGCTTTGTGCTTTTTAGCATGTTTTTGGATGCTATGGGCTGTTTTTGTATGGTTTTTGCTACCTCTAATTCTTTTGAACTCTTTGAGGACAACTGGTCCATTTTACCGAAGTAACAATTTGAAGTTTTTATATACATACCATAAACAAATGGAAATTCAAATACACAAAACATACATTTAAATCCAAAAACATATCTAACTTTAAAAAAAAAAAAAAAAATTAAGGGCCCAACCAGGTTCGAACCGGTGACCTCTTGATCTGCAGTCAAATGCTCTACCACTGAGCTATGGACCCATTTGCTATAAGCATTTCTAACTCTACGTTTTAAATTAATAATAGGAGAATTTTCAACACAAGAATACCGCATCGAAAACCAGTAATCCAAGAAGTTCAAGCTGACAGAAAAGACTCAGAAACAGTATTGAAGTCTAAGAAAAAACCAAGTCCAGATAAACATATTATTCGCAGTTTGGATTCAAATGGCAGGCAGAGGTTTGTGTTCAGGAGTTAACTTTATAAAATGGTCCAGTTCAATTTCCGAGCAACAAAAACCTAATCGCAGAAGAACAGATGTAGAAAACATAGAATAAAACATATAACATTAATGTTTCTACATACATAACACAAAGTCGCATACAAGCATCAATCGTAAATTTAAAAACGTTTTTACCAACTCTTGTTATGGAAAACAGCAGTTGTACTTAAAATTTCCCATTTTTAAGTGAATCATCACCAACAAAAACATTTCACCATTCAAAACAAACCATTCCACTATTCCAAGAGCATAATAAAATTTAAAAAGCTCTAATTTCCAAATTAAAGAAGAAAGGCAATTGATAACTTACCAAATTCATATGATGTCATATTAAAATAACCTTAATCTTAATGCTGTTTTTGGGGCTGCGACAGAGTAGAGTGATTCTGTTGGGCCATGTTGGTGCCTGGTTACAGCAATTGGCGGAATGGATGTTCCTTCTAAATCTCTAACGTTTCCACCACTCTTCTTGATCTAATCCGATTTTACTACGAGGGAAAACAAATAAATAAATAAAAAGGATAAAAGGACAGAAAGTCAAAAATAAAGCTGCAATAACTTCTTCTCCATCATAAACATGAATGATTGATGATATGAATGGAATTCATGTTACAAGTGTCATCGTTTTAATTTTATCTTCATGTGTGAAAAAATAAATGAGAAGATACCAACTTTAACAACGTTTACCTACCATGCTGCAAGCTTGATTTAAATTTACCAACATGTCAGAGCAAAAAAAGGCTTCACTTACAATTTATCGACATGCAAGCAATTCTTCAAAAGGAGAGATTTCGATTTTGAATCAGATGAAGTGTTCTTTATCAAAGCCTCTGCCTGTCCACTTGCTCAGCCCGACCAAGGAGATCAACCATAGATGCTTAGTGATATATAGTCAGATTCAAAACACTTCACAAGCATCATTTCTGAATCCCCATTTCACATCAACAAAGGCCTCCACCCTCAACAACATCATTTTTAAACCATCCTTTACAATTACATAAGGAAAAAATCTCACAAGGTCAGAAACCAACAAAGTTAGCACCTAATTTAAAGTGAAAAGAATAAATAAAGAATTTGGACGTAAACTAGACCACCCATCTCATGAAACAACCTAACAGCCTATTCAAGTTTTGAACTTTAACGCCATAGATCTTCCCCCACAACGGTATGCCATTTAAAAACTCACAACCACATTAAATGTCAACGTATTTATCATACATACCAAGAACTGAAGCACTACAAAAGCACTATATAACTGAAACCCACATTTCACAATCTGCCTAAACATAACCATTAGAAGTCACTAGCAACTCCACACACCTTAAGCTCACAGAGAAACCAACCTCATTGGCCCGAAACCCAAAACGGGCACATAAAACAAAACAAACTCAGACCATTTTTATACAGAAGACATAATACTTGTCCAAAAACCAAGTTTCATTCAGGCATTTGATCAAACATTAAACCAGCACTCAACATATCACCACAAGGCTCGAACATTTCACTATATTGTGCTGTAATAAGATATCTTTAAAATAGACCCAGTTTTGACAAAGCGAAAGTGAAGTGACTATGGCATGGTTAAGTTATTTAACATCACCAAAATGTTGGAAAAGAGAGACAATCTTGAAAGCAAAACCCAGTAAGTGTTGCAAAAACATAATGGGAAGTGATCCAAAAGGAAAATTTCTAAGATAACTTACAACACTGAACACATTCCTCTCGTTTTGTTTTGGTGGGCTTCTTGCTAAGCTTATGACCTAGCAATATATTACATCGCATAATCTAATCGTTACTTACAAACCTACAGTTTGCCCTAAACCTGAAGGCGACTACACATATAACATGTAAAGTTTCTTAAAAAATATTAAAATAAAATAAATACTAATGTTTTATCATTTTATGTATTGATATTAATATCTATGTATTGATATTGGTTTATCAATAATATTAGAATGAAATAGAATAATAATATAGAATAACATCTCCTATATTTAATAATCTCTTTAAAGTATGGTTAGTATTTTATTAC